AATGGAAGTCCTGAACGCCATAAAGCTACTGAAATGCGGGAAAGCAGCAGGACCAGATGGAATACCGCCAGAAGCACTGAGAACAGATGCAGAGACAACAGCGGACATGCTCACACCACTATTGCAGAAGGTGTGGAAGGAAGAGAAGGTACCTGACGATTGGAAGAAGGGTTACCTTGTCAAACTGCCGAAGAAGGGAGACCTCAGTGCTTGCAAGAACTGGCGCGGAATCACTCTCCTGTCCACCCCAAGTAAAATATTAAGCCGCATCATCCTGGAGAGGCTTAAAGATGCACTGGATTCAAAACTGCGACCGGAACAGGCAGGCTTCAGGAAGTACAAATCATGTGCTGACCAAATTGCAACGCTTCGTATCATCATAGAACAGAGCGTAGAATGGCAATCAGCTCTCTACCTCAACTTCATCGACTTTGAGAAGGCCTTTGACAGCGTCGACCGAGAAGTAATTTGGAAACTGCTTCAATACTACGGAGTACCGCAAACCTTTATCCGCCTCATTCAACAACTATATGAAGATGCCACATGCCAAGTAATCCACAATGGGAAGCTCAGTGATGCCTTTGAAGTGAAGACAGGAGTGAAACAAGGTTGCCTACTATCCCCCATGATATTCCTTATTGTGGTGGACTGGATCATGCAGCAAACAGTAGGCAGCGAGAAGAGGGGGATACACTGGACGACGGAAAAGAACCTAGAAGACTTGGATTTCGCCGATGACTTATGCCTAATGTCACATAAACTTGAAGATCTGCAGGCAAAAACTAACAAGTTGACAGAAGAGGCAGCTAAGACGGGACTTCAGGTGAATATAGAGAAGACAGAAGTGATGAAGATACCGCACCACCACCATCAACAACAACAACAAACTCCAATCACCGTCAACGGGAGAAACTTGAAGGAAGTAACCTCCTTCACTTATCTAGGAAGCACTGTTTCAACTACAGGCGGGACGGACGAGGACGTCAAAGTCAGAATCGGAAAAGCAAGACAGGCGTTCATTAGCCTGAAACCAGTGTGGAGATCTTCTGCACTCAGCATCTGGAACAAGATACGGATTTTCAACACCAACGTCAAGTCAGTGCTCTTGTATGGCTCAGAGACTTGGCGCGTCACGAAAGGCATTTCCAATAAACTACAGACATTCATCAACAACTGCTTACGCTCGCTGCTGAAGATCAGATGGCCAGAAAAAATAAGCAACAAGGAACTCTGGGAACGAACCAACCAAGAACCTATCACGCAACAAATATGCAGGAAGAAGTGGAGATGGATTGGCCATGCACTGAGAAGGCCGACTGAGGACATCACGCGTCAGGCCCTCGAGTGGAATCCCCATGGGAAGCGACGAGTTGGACGTCCGAGGGTGACATGGAGGAGGTCGTGCGAGGAGGAAATGAGAGCTTGTGGGCTGTCGTGGGACCAGGTTCAAAAGATCTCAGAGAACAGAGGTCACTGGAGGCGTGCTACTGAAGCCCTATGTTCCACTAGGAACCCAAGGGACTAATAATAATAATAAAAATAACATAAAATTTGGGTAGTCTTGTCTCTATGCAGAAATCCTGAGTAACATAACGATTAGAAGCATAGCGCTCCTCAAATATTTTCTGTGTCATAATTAGAAAGTATTTACAGACGATGAGGAATAATATAGAAATCCCTTTAGCAGATAAGAATGAACCTAATGAATAGGATCACAAATACATCAAAGGAACTATAAGGTGGTTACCTCCCGCACCAAAAAAGTATCAGGTCAAAATATAACTCCAGAATACATGGACCAGTGTTGCACCAAGTATTCACATAAAAACTTGGTAAATCAGCACCGTTACCATAGTAAACGATGTAGCAACGGTTAATGAACTGGATTTGATCAAGAACTAAGTGATTAACTTCAAAAATACAAAGAGAACATAGTATGATAGCAACAAAGTGGGACAAAAAATCACTAACAGTTTATTATTCACTCAAATCAAGTCTACTGAGAACTGTGTAAACTTCCTTAAACTCTAAAATAAGATTCTTTAAACATATGTGGCTCGGCGGTGTAGTGGATAACGCTCTGGTTTTTGAAGAGATCTGTCCCGAGTCCAAATCCCGCTGGGAACACCACTCACTGGAAGGCAGGTACACCCAGCTGATGAGTCCCAAATAGGACGAAATGTGCATCCTGGATTCCACTCGTAGCCGCTATCCATCATTACTATGTGCTAGAAGTTTTCACAGTTCGCTAACGTTTTATTCACAAACCTCTAGGAATGTCTAGATTAACTCTGCATATAACCATGGAACTTGTAACTGGAGTCACGGAATATTCCCACTCCTTATGATTTTCTAGAATTAATGAATATTCTTCTTGAAGTAAGAGCTAATTCTGTTTTAGACTGTAAATTGTTCAAGTCATTACAACCATCCGACCAAAATATTCTCCAATCATCGACTATGCAAGTACATAAATGAGACATCTCCATAATCATTAGTGCATCGACTTCACGCGTTAATCAAGAGAAACATTACAACTATGATTAAGTTCTAGCCGTCTTGTTTGAAAATTCAGGTTGTAATGTTTAGAAATAGCTACATCTGAATGGTTTATAGTCGCGCAGAAGAAAGTATGTATACCTTAGTGTAGTTATGAGCTACACCTAACAGTTTGTGCAACCCCGTAGCATTACTAGCCACTACACAATAAGTTTGTTGCATAGCGAATTACATAAACCGACATATGGTTCCCTAATTACATTTTCCTGAAGGCACTTGATACCTTGTGGAAGTGGTCAGGTTTACTTGTCGCATTAATCCACTAAGGTTACACCAGTAAATATCCTTGTCATAATATGCATTTGCAGCGTTCCATTTGTCCATGCACTCTATTCATGTATTAACAAAAGCAAAACCTGTTACATTAATCATTTTCTAAAAATCTTTTTTAGTAACCAATAACTTTTGGCAATCACATGGGGAGATGAAAACAGACTCTTTCAGCAGGTGGAATATAATATTGTGGCGAAATCATAGACTTATGTAGCATGTTAAATATTCATTACATATATAATATTATTCCAAAAATTAACCAGTGCAGAAAACAGAAAAGACAGTGTTTGTCGAAGTTTTTACTTTTGCAACACCCTGATATGTTTCAGTAATTTTTAGCCTTAAAGTTGGAACAAAGACTGATTTGAACAGCTCAAATGAGGACTAGTGATCCTTACCTACAGAGCTTTCAGTTGCTTATGTGAAGGGCTTACCGTATGCGTGAGCACCAGCCCTAGAGGAAATCCATTCGTTGACTTATTTATAGTGTTTATGCTTCGTTATTATGTCTTCTATACCTAAACCGACCGTTCGTTTTATCGCCACAAGCACGCTGAACTGACATCATCAGGTTAGATCAAAGTTTTGGCTCCCATTTTTTACAACTTTAATCGATACTGTCATCTAGATCCATGTCATGTGATGAAATTTCGAACCATATACCGAAAGATAGAGCAGTATACACCAGTTCATGTCATCTGTAGTACTATTGAGATGCTCGTATAGTTCCAAAATGTAGGACGTACAGAATTTCGGTGCTAACAGTTCTGCTCTGCGTCTTTTAGTAGAAGCGGAGATTTCTGATGACAGAGCACGTCCGATCTCCATTTTCTTTATAAGATCGCTAGCAAATGGTGGAAAAACCTTATAAGTAATTCTGAGGTGAAGTGAGATACGTTTGGGATTGATGGAGATTCATATTCGTTGAGTGGTCATCTTGAAATACCAAATCCGATGGCTCAGATGCGTTGAGAATTTCTCCTCAGAGGCTTCCATATGTTTCACTGTTCGCTTGTCGTAAGACTGGTTGGGAGAAGTGGAGGTGATCAGTGCATGAAACGGTGTCATAAGATAAAGAGTAAATGTGACAGGTTAGCATGTGTTCGGGCATGCAGTTCGAGCGACCATGCTGAAGTTTTCTGTTTCTGTTTTATCAGAAAGCTAAACTAGGATGATAAAGACTTCTCTGAATATATGCGTAAGACTGGTTTTTTAACAACCCATTTTCACTCCCGTTTATTTTTTTTGTATTTCTTTCCTCCTACATCACTTTCTTATCCTCCTAATCTACTTATATTGCATGTATGGTGTAATTCTTGATGCCCACATTGTATGTCTGTTTTTTAGATAAATAACAGGTATCCCTCAAGCCACTTTAACAAATATTACACCTTACTTATGCTAAACATTGAAATAGGTTGTCGTAAAAGCCTAATAATTAAAGATAGTAATGATATATATATATATATATATATATATATATATATATATATATATATACATATATACATATATACACATATATATATATATATATCGCAGTTGATTGGTGAGAAGATAAATTTATTTATTCGATTGCGAAAGTTTTAAAGCAAATGTAAATTTTCATGTCATCATATCACAGGATCGGGGTGAGGGGGAGAGGGGGTCGACTACAAGTGAACAGTTTCCAGTCCTATATGTAACAGTTTGTACACGGAAAAGCAATCCGTTGAGATAATCCGTAAGTCCCGGAAGGCGTTCATTTTATCAAGAAACAAGAGAAAAGTCAAACTCTTGGTAGATACCACTGAATCATGAAGGAATAAGTATATAACTGATTACGAAATACTCACCTCTATCAACCCAACTGCATGAATATCAGTATAGTTCTTTATAGAAGAGCTTTCAAGGATAGGTAATTGAGACTAGCGGGAGAAAGGCAACCAATATCGACCACGAAATTCTCACCAGAACTTTTAGTTACAATACCGATAACTTCGTCAGCTTTGGAAACTGACCTATATGACAACGGTATGAGAGATGACTAAGTGGGAGTAATGTAGTTACCGGAAACTAGCACTCAAACCAAATAAAATTTCCCTCTACATCTGACGGCGAACTACTGAATTTTAAATGCTTGATCGAATTAGGTGACTCCGAATTTTCTACTGCTTAAGATTCCAGCTTCAAAATGCCAAGCTGTAAGAAAGCATAAAAACATGAAGCATTTAAGGATGAACAGTCAGAAACTTTTTAGACTGTATGTGATAAGGCTGTTCTAAAACCCAGTCAGTATTCTAGATATCAAAATAAATACCTAAACAAGATAACCAGAAATGTTAGTCTCAAGGTAAACAATCACATAACCAAGTGTTTTATTCTTCAAGAACCGGCCTGATGTTTTCGAGTATTCCGTCACATTAGAAAATAGGAATCTGCTATCAGTTACTTAGAGGAGTTGACAATTCATCTACTACAGTGTTGTCAAGTGGACACTAAACAAATACTTATTATGCACATAGCACACTGCCTTCGTTTCGAGGTTACAGATGGGTGGCACTTGATGAAAACTGAAAATGCTGAAGTAAATGTTTTCAAAAGCACAGATAATAAACATGTTGGATAAAAGTGGATACATCGATTATTCACACCAAATTATAAGGGTTAATTCTATAAATGTTACTCCAGAAATCAATCAACCAGAATATATAAAAAGGGAGGATTAGGATTTATTGCCAAGTTTTATATAATTATGTCATACATTTGTGTGCTGAGGAAGCAACTGTTGAATTACAACAATGCTGGTGTCACCAGTTCACATGAGTTCTAAAATACGGCGGAGCTGACATGGGCTATTGTGTTGTTCAACCAATAAATAGATTTAGAAGTCAAACACAAAAGTGAAGTATGAGGCTGATTCCAAGCGGATATCTCCCAGGCACTAGGGTCAAGTAAAGTCAGCTAACTTTCTTTACTAGGTACCTCTAAATGAGACAACTTCTAACGCTGCAGGTAGCCAGGAAGTGATCACCAGCCAAAACGCCCCCAGCAGTATACAAAACCCGACTAGTAGTAACCTATTTTCGTTACCTTTACAGCTTGATCTTGTCATCAAAATTATAGCCTTTCCCGCCGAACATCAACAACGAAATAATTCAGCAAAATATCATTACTAGATTCCTAAAGTTATGTAGTAAGTATCACATAGGAGCTCCCAATGTACAAATCATGTAGGAATTCCCAAAACAGGCCCAAATCGCTAAAACTCTAGAATATCAGACTATGGATATGTACTGAGACACATAATATCTAAGGGTGGTTATTCACAGGAACTTGCTCACCAAGCAAATAAGACGAGTCTTCAAAACTCACCTTGTAAATGTCGGAATATTAGATGGGTAAATCGCGTGGTCGGTCAACCAACATAGAAATGAGACACAGCAATACTGCGTAATGGCCCAAGCTACCACATCTAAAGTCATTGAGAGAAAAGTGAAATTAAGTCATGGAAAATCTTAAGCGAAAACGAAAAGGTATTCAAACAAATAGCCAAACATGATATATTAATTAGGATAAGAATAATGCGTGATATTTGGGCTACTGAGATGGATTTAGAGCCACATCACGCAATCTTCAACCAGAGATCTCGGTTGCCAAGTAGACCCCAGCAAGGAAGTCTACATTTCCACGGTAATTCTTTCAATACATTCACATAGACGAAATCAACGTACAACCTTGCATACAAACCATCGGTTCAAGTTGTCACACTTCGCAGTAACATGCAAAGGACAAATGGGTAGAAAAAGAATAAAATCCAAGTAGACAAAGGTATATGGGAGAAGAAATAAGATGAAGATGACGGTTGGCGAATATATTCAAGTCTTAGAAGACGTCAGAGTGAATACATCTGCGCCACTGCGACCGATTATCAGCCGTTTTACGAAGAGTTCCCAGCCACTGATTCCTTTCGTTTCGAGGACCCTAGTCATTTAGTCTACATAACCCTACACGACTCAGACTAACAGCCAGAGACTCCATAGACTGGGGTCACATCTTCGTTTGGCCACTCTGAGCCCTCTACCAACCTTATCCAAACTCTCTTAACATTGCAGGTTTAGGTATGCGGTGGATACGCAATATATGTCCAAGCCATTTCTGTCCCGAAAGTTTACAACCTCATCAACTGACTTTTCTAGTATCCATCAACTAACCTCGATATTACCAACATGGTTCAATCATACGCAAGTAAAGCTACAAAGATACCTACGGTCAAAAACTTGCAGTCTCTTCATATCTTCCACTTATAACGGCTGTCTCCCAGCCGTATAACAAATCGAAATCCCCTCAGCTACCTTGTGCGCATTCGTGCCACACCTATTGTGTAGGGGGTAGTGATACTATCCGGTTGCCTAAATCTCGGTGGGTGGAGCATTGCTCGAAACCGTGACAGAACGGACTACAGTACAGTATACTAATCCTTTAACAGGTAATCAGTCGAATATCTGGCCAGTCGGAGCCACAGATGACGCAAGTTAGCAAATGCAAAACGAGCCTCAAATTTCGACACATTTAACCACTTTACTCCTTATCCTTAAATTGGAAGTAGTTACAGACCACTACTGAAGCACCATCTTAAACTTGACAGTCGCCAAAAGCATGTCAAGCATACTCAGATTTCAGCTCAAGGCACTCAGAACATCCTGCAGTTTGTCAGCGTTCTCAGCTGGCAGGACAGTGTCGTTTGTGTACTCCATGTCAACCAGATGCCCAAGGACTAGATCGATCCCTGAGAAGTCAGACGCACTTAAGGTTAAACAAGAACAGTGACAGAGGGTATTCCTGGAGAACACTAGTCATCAATTCAGATGACAACTCTCTATGAACTCCTCAGCAGCTGCATGGGTTCGGTTAGAGAGTTTAAGTTAGCGTTACACACTTGCTCGGAACTCCCTTCTCAGTCAGACTGCCATAACATCTAACAGTCAACAAAATAGAATCCCGGATTCAGTTCAACAAATATGGCAAGTGTCGGACACTAGTAGGTAAGTATACATGTGTCCTGGAACCTATCTAAGGATGGAAATATGACCGATCCACTCTCGCTCAGGTTTCTGTTTGCCATGAGTTTGTTTTTCTCCAGCACCAGTCAGGTGTCAAAAAACTATGGACCGAAGGATCCTAGATGCGCAACTAATCAAACTGATTCCACAATAATTGTCACGAAAATATTTCTCTTCTTTCTCATACATTGGGACGATCAGCGAAGTAGACCAGTGTGACGGGATTGCTTCCGATTCACATACACTACCTAGTGCTCCTGTCAGTTTGCTCATTAATTTTCTACGTCCTTTTTTAAAAGCTTCCACTGGGAAACCATCAGGTCTTGCTGCTTTGAATCGTCTCGAATTTGAAACAGCTTCAACTTTGAGAACAGTGGAAAGACAGACATCTACGTCCCCTTCAAGTTCGAGGTGGATAACTCAAGAGTGAATGTCGACCAGTTTAACTGTGCTTCAACTCACTCCGCTAAACGTTCTGGTCGTGAGTTCTCAGTGGTCATCAGGATACCATCTTTTTTAGTGGTTTTACCCCCATCGTCTTCTTGTTGCTGGTATCTGAAATAAGCCTAAATAATTCCCACGTATTACCTGATGATGATACCTTTATCTCTCTCACTTTTGCTATCCACCAATGATCATAGTTAGTGTGAAGACTCCTGGTTAGTTTACATTCTCCCTCTTTGTTGTGGTTAGAACCTCAATCAGTTCAGAAGTTGAGGAAATCCAATGACGTTTGCTAACCACTAAATGTAGGTCACTGTCTTTACTGCTGTTCTTACAGTAGGTGCAATATCACACTAGGTTTCCTCAGGACAAACATTTCTGCAATGTCCATACGAAGGCTTAGTTATGTTTTGCCTTAATACGTACTTCGTGTGATAATCTTCCATTCGAGTACATAGGCTTCACTCCCACCTGTTTTCTATGACCACTAAGGTACAGACATACGTGCTCGTACTAATGTGTGGTCACAGTCCAAGCATGTATTTCAGGAGAAGCAATCTCCCACCGATCCTTTTCAACGACCTGTATCCGTCATTAATTTAAAATCCGTGGACGCTATGTGAGACGTTTCTCCCTATGCGTGAAGTCAGTCCTAGCCAGAAACAAGTAACTGTCATTAAAATTGCAACGGATTACCATAGTCCGTTCATCGGCATGAGACCTCATGGATGCTTCGAAGATGCCTTTCTGATTGACTCAGCTTTCTACACGAACATACATACAGTGGAGCAGTATTATGTACTCATCACGTCTTGGGCAGAATTTGTTCATAATCTTATCTATTATAACTATGCATTGGTCACTTACTTGGGGAGTTGCATCAGTTCAAATGGGTAGGTTGCTGACGAAACCTCAGCTTGAACACACAGAGCCCGTTCAGCACTTTACAACTTTCGTCACCCTTAGTGTTAGAGATATCTGCCTACTAGATTACATGTCTACTGAGCTGCAGTTCACTGCTTTGCTGTACGGCTAGGAAAATATCGTACAAACAAGATCACAGGGTTTAGACTACAAATATCTTCATAGCATTGCTTGCACGTGCTGGAATCACTGTGAGCCTTAGTGATCCTCCGCGTGCACTACCGGGTAATAATAAATGAATGAATGAGGTCGTAACACTCACCGACGGAAGTAGCTTGAACATGTTATGCATACCAAGCCACTTTGTCAACGTTTACGTCAGCCATTCTTAAACCACCTTTTTACATACTGATGTGGTGTAACAACTTGAAATGATGCACTTCTATGGCAAACTCTACATCTATTTGCCTATTCGCTGAACTTTACAAAATCCCAGACTTAGACCATAAGAATCAGAACCAACAAGCTTCACTGAATAAGTATTCACACACACCATACGCCAAAAACCGATATGCTTGATGGGGAACTATGTGTAGAATGATATGAAATCCAAAGGATCATATCGAGTCGCGAGATGTCGGAAGGCTAAACTGTAGTGAATGTGAAGTCCGGATAGGTCGGTGAAGTTACAGCTGACACTTAGTTCATCGTCTTGACAACCGTTACTTGTCATGAAACTCCCTTACTATTTCGAATGACTCAGTAGAGTGGGACAGCACGTTTCTCGGCCTAGGTGGCTAGATCTTAAGTAAAACACACCACTGAACAACCCATAGACGATAGCAGTGAAATACACTAGGGACAAGTGCACCTCTTGGTGTTATTTAAAAATATTTTTGCATATTCAGTATAGTACTTTGCTGGATACACGAAAATATGCCATACGTAAGGCGTAAACGATAGGTTCCGAGGTGAGTCATAATGTTCAAAAAAAGTAACATTGATCCACATGTTTGCGAATAAATTAACGGGACTAATAAAAAACCTGTTTGATTAGAACTGAGTCCATTAGAGTGTTTAAACACAAATTTTGCTTAAACCATAATTCAAATTTAGACACTGGTACACATACAAGGTGAGCCAGAATACCACGACAAACCTCTGTCAGAAGGTTCTGATTATTCGAGTATCATTCTCGGCATAACTACACGACCAACAAAATCTTAAATACTCGAGTCGTTTATTAGAGGATACATCTGATTTTAAAATTGGAGCAAAAATAATGTATAAGCCTCTACATGACCTTGAACTCAACATTCTATCTTTTCACAACATCCATCATCCAACATCAATAGCGAAAGTTGAGGAAACCTGCAGTTTTTGAGCTCTTGCTTCTAGGTCTTTACGAGGCGGTATGGACTGCCGAAACGATGAATATATATTTCATGATACCTGGGAAAGCATTTGCTGTCATGAGGACAAATACATTTTCTCATGATAGTTTTGCAATTTTATTAGACTTTCAATCTGTCTATTTCTGCGAGTCTTATCAATCAACTTAATCCTGTTGGGCTGGAAGAATTCGTCATTTGACAAATGACCTGACCAAAAGGTTTCATAAAAACCATCCCGAATGTAGAAAAGAGGTTGTAATGGACCTGTGGAAATTGTTACGGCGACACACTGTTTCACCAATTTTCACTTAGCATGAATAACCACTTTCGGAATTCTCCTGCAGCAAACATGACAGACGCAGAGGCCAACCACTAATTATTAGAACTTGTTATATATACTCGAATGCGAGACCAAGAAAAACACGATAGCGTAGTCGGATGGAATAGTATATTTTGGTGGTTGTGCCAAGATACCAATGCGTTCCAACTAACTGGCTAGAGAGTCAATTACGAGCAGTGCAACGTAACACGACAAAGTGCCAAATGGCGAGGATGCTTGACCGTGTGACTTCAGCCTAACGAGTCTGGAGCAATTGTGAAGGTCAGCATAAATGTTGAATCTTGTCGTTCCCCAGGCTATTGACTCTGGAGGAGTGTGTAACGCTACACCGCCTTCCACAAGCATATGTTCGAAGTTAAAAGATACTAACCAAAATTTGTTCACATCCATCTTTTTTAGTTGAATCTATAGCTATTTAAGCAGCGAGAGACCTTTCAAAATCAGTGGTTTACAGTTCCAGGTGTCCAACGAGATTTGGAAGCGATGCTACCCTTCATGGTTCTAAGGGAATGGCTGGGCCAGCGGTGCACGGTCAGGTGTCCAAACCATTTGGTACGTCGTCGTGTTACGTTGTACTACTCGTACGCGATTTTCTAGCCAGTTAGTTGGAACGCATCGGTGTTTTGCTGCTGGCTACAAATTATGCCGTTCCACCTGACTACTCTGTTGTGTTCTCTTTTGGTCTGGCACTCGTGTGAATAATACAAATACGGATAATCAGTGGTCGATATTTGCACCGGTTTAGTTAGCGTAAGACTCGCCGTTAAGGGGCTTCCATTTGAGGAGGACTTAACATGGACTCCATTCAACATAATGTGACTCTGAAAACACTGACATCTGTGTAGACTCATCATGTATATCCTACCAGGCTGTAGCAGTATGATACTCATTCGGGCAAACTTTAGATATGCACAACCCCCGTTTGTCAAGTGTCTGCAAAATGTCGAAGAAGGTTTGAAACCATAACTAGATTGCAGGGCTTCAGTTGGACAGAAGGCTTAGAGAATGCACTACATGATAAACATCTACAATCATCATTTGATCATCAGGTATCCTAAGAGGTTGGTTATATACAGGCGTAGCAACATATTCTTGCGCGACAAAATAACCCTGTGAAATAGTATTCACATCTTCCGTTGACCTCGTTGAGTTCTAATAATTATCAGGTGACATCTGGGCTTCACATGACGCTTTATCAAGTAAGTGGTATGGTCACCTTGCCCATGTGCATACATAATGACCGCATGATATACACCATGCTGTTAACACGCGTGATAGCTCGTAACACTACGAGGGACTACTACAATTTGGGATTGCGTTAACGTTTTTAAATGCCAGTTTGAGCTTATAACGTCACACACCTCTCCAGAATCAATAGCCTGGGGAACGACAAGATTCAACATTTATGCTGACCTTCACAATTGCTCCAGACTCGTTAGGCTGAAGTCACACGGTCAAGCATCCTCGCCATTTGGCACTTTGTCGTGTTACGTTGCACTGCTCGTAATTGACTCTCTAGCCAGTTAGTTGGAACGCATTGGTATCTTGGCACAACCACCAAAATATACTATTCCATCCGACTACGCTATCGTGTTTTTCTTGGTCTTGCATTCGAGTATATATAACAAGTTCTAATAATTAGTGGTTGGCCTCTGCGTCTGTCAAGTTAGTCCCAGGAGAATAACTTAAATCTGAAAAACATCTTCATTCAGCTAGCCACTGAGCCAGAGCATGAGGCTTCAGGGGCGATTAGGCAAAGGTTACTTCAATCCTCGGCCTATATCATTCATCAGACACTCACGAAAAACCTGAGATTCATTTTTAAACAAAACTCCTGAAACTTACCAGTGAAGTGAGCAGAACGTGGTAGCCACAAAAGTACAGATTAAAGCGCACCATTTTTGTGTGGTGTGAAGTTTTCTTTTTTCAGGCTGGGAATTATCACTACCAGCGATGAAAATGGGATGATAATTTCTTGTGAAAGGAAATGTTACCAGAGATTTTCCACCACTAATTGTCATAACCATATCTGTAAAAATGATACGTACCCGTAAATTCAGGAATAAATTAACATATACGAATATCGGATGGCACTGGAAGCAGATATGATGCAGATTAACATTTTGGAACTGAAGACGTTTCGCTTGTTCCTACTGCATCCATCCCGACATGGATGTTCTTTTTGGTACATTTGCCCCTTATGTGCTCTATTTACGAGGCTTTACGGAAGCAGAACAAGTAGCATTAAAATCTCAGCGCTGTACTATTACCAGTATGTATTTCTTCACCATGAAAACAGTTGTTCCCTGCACTGAAATGAGCATGGTATGTCCCGCAATAGCATGAATTCCTTGATTTCGTCCCTACAATTATTTTGTTGTCCAGGGTTGGACACGCACACTTTCCTTCAACATGAATTTAGAAGTCCTACTTTCTTGAAAACCACGAAAACTTTCAACAACTACCCCTGCATGCGTGAACTACCTAATATATTGTTGTCTGTGTCGCGGCTGAGGACTTGTCACCCGGGAAATAACAAAATGCAATAGATATTTTCTGGAGTTGAAGGAGCCTTTCGGTGTTTGTCTCGGCATCGTTTCACTTTCAATCATAAGCCAACATGCAGCTAGCATTATCCGGAGTGAGGAACCAAAGAGAGCATTATTCATCACCTCTAAGCGTGTTCTGTTTCGTGCGTATGTCCATGTAAAACAATCCGGAAACTAGTCAGCTGTCTAATATGTAGAATTTTAAGCCGTTTGTATCATGTTTCGTAATATTCATGTGGAGTCATTTGACGACTATTTGTCAATAAATAATGGCTCTTTACCGTACGCTTACATGCATTTCATTCTAGTAACATTTGATGAGTCCCAGATTCTCTGTTTTATACCAGGATGCAGTCTCCTTTTTCGACGTCGCACAAAAATGCTTATTTGCCGATCGACAAAAAGAAAACATTGCAGTAGCTGTGGATGTATTTGTTAATATTATTGTCCTACTAGCCCCTTTTCCTGGCTTCGAGGTTGTTAATTGTGACATCTTGAGGTGAGCCATCTGCAAACTCAAAATCAGGGTTCATTTGAAAGGTTTGTGGGAAGAACAAGCAATCGTGCTGTTGACACCGCAACAATTTGCAGACGAAGCCATCTTAAGACAATTGGCCAGAAGGAAACGGATGTTTAGTACCTCCTGGTCTTAAATAGTTGTGCGATAGACGTCCGTTTCTGGTGCGGACTGCCTCAGATAATATCCTTCCGAGTAACCATATATTTTACAAATGGTGCTCCGGAAAGCTTATTATCCGCGGAAGCAAAGCAAGCCAGCTGACTTCGTCTCGATTAAATCCTTTTGCAAATATTCCCACATTCTACAACATTTGCGTCATTAGATGGCTCCGATATTCCCAGGTGTATTACCCGTGACCATGGTGCACAGGGAAATGAAATGTTAGGGTCCATAAAGCTTCGAGGATGAACTATAATAATTTGGCTGGAAAACTGTCATAGATGAGTCCCAAATTTTCCACACACTGATATCAAATGATTATTATCCTGACCGATAACCATGACTAATGGACACAGATACTCTTGTATACCAATCACGTGAAGTAAATTCCGTGACTCACTTCAAAAAATTAAAATTCTCAGGTCTCAGGAGCTCTGAAAAGAGTAATCAGGGGAAGCGTCGTTCAAATTTTACTAAGGCCTTGAAAATTAATCCGTTTGAAATCAGTGTGCAATGCGCTTGCAGGTGGACGTCAACAATGGTGAGGATAAACTGGCTGTATTTCTTCCCATCTTCATGAATCGGCGGGTATCACCGACATTCGCTTATGTGACGTCTGGCTGGAAGATGAGCTACAATATGAGGTACAGCTAGCAAGTAATATGTGCCAGCCAGAAGTGTCCATTTACTGATTGGAATCTGCGGTTCATCTTCAAGATTCATTATTTTTCAGCCGGTACGAACTTTTAGCACTGTGTAGATCGTTGGCGAACCTCCCTTCTTTTATCTGCCACTCATACCCAATATCCAAACTACAACAATGCTATTAACCACTGGTCACTTGCGTGCAACAGTGTTAGGATTTTGTCAAAGTTCGCCCACACGCTGTTACGTTCTTTACCTTCTTACCAAGCCTATTTACTACTTTCGGTGCCGTAGCTATACATGACGAATCTGGCTTTTTACTCACCATGCAGTTTTGACGTTCAGATGACCACAATACTTTTGTATGTGCCGGAATTATTGATGAAGTGGGTGGTCATACTGCCACATGATTTATTTTGTCCCCAGCCTGCTCAGCACTTCAATAGCAATCAAAATCGTAGTTTCGTTTGAATTGGAAATAACCCGCAGTAAGTATTTCTACCACATGGAGAATCAAGTGGGCCACAAATCCAACTGCCGATAAAATATAAGTGCAAAGATGTACCT